CGGATACGATGCATTTGAAATCTAGTGTACACTTTCTGTGAGTAAACATTGATCGGCTCTATACTGTCGAGTTTTGTGTGGAATGAGACTGTTCAAAATGGAATTTTCCAAAGTTTGTACTTTTATGTGAAAAAGAGAGAGCTAAATAAAGAAAGAACATTCGAAGTTAAAGCGTGTCGATCGATTCATTCATGCCATTGATTCTTTTACCCAAAATTGTAACAGAAATGGTAATTTTGGTTAACACACACATTCACTGTTAAATGGTACTTGTTGCCAATATTCAGGCAATTCTTCATTTCTCTTTCATTCATGATTTTTCTGTCGCCTTCTTTGGCTTTCCATTTTAAATGAATCATCTTCAACAAAGCCGCACTGAAGATGTTTTCGCCACAAAAAAAAAGAGAGAGAGAGAGAGAGAGAAGAACCGCAAAAGTACAAACAAAAACATATTTTTCTTAGTGATAATCTTGGAATTGTATATTTGGCACCCATCTTCTGTCGCTAGTTTGGCCAATTGACACAAAGCGAACTCAAGTATTGTGTCGATGGTTTTGTTTTTTCAGTGTGATCGATACGAGTGATAAGAAATGTTTCACAATAATCTATGAGTCTAAAGAGTGACGGTGCTTTGTTGGTGTCGTTTTCCGGCTTCGTTTTTTCCTCATATTCTTGTTCTCCTATCTCTTCTCTCTGTAATTTCATTTTCAATACTGTAAACATTCTATTCGACAAGTTTTTTTCCTTCTCTTTATTCCACTTCTACGTGCTAGTGGTTTCTTTGTCGCATTGCTTTTGTTTTGTGTTCATTTGTGGTTTTTGTAATTTGGCAAAGCTGATCATTGGTGCCCATTAGACAAAGTAGTACAAACGATATGCTACTGTATTTCAGCTATTTTTCAAGGAGTTATGCACAAAGTTCATTTGCACCGGTCGAACACCTTTTAATAAGTGTAAATTCATTCATACTTTGATGGCCATTAGCTCAGTCATTCATTCATGATTTTTTGTTTTCGAGTATTTGCACTCGTTTCTTTTTACTCATTTCTCCAAAAACTAAACAACACAACATTTTTCGTATGTTTTCTTTCTGAATGAGTGTGCTTGTCCGACTTGGGAAAATCGATATATTTGTAGATTTTTATCGATATTTTGAATTGATTTGGTCATGTTAGATTGTTATCGCCCTTTGTCACACCATTTAAAGCGCAATTTTTTGTTTTGCCATATTATCTGCACTAGCAAATTAATGAAGTGGCAAAATTTAATTTCCTGCATGAATATCGTGTTCGCATCAGTGATGCTATTCATTATCATTTAATTCGTTTGGGCTTAATTGGTGTACGGAATGGACACGTTCGGCTCGTGTCGTGTGTACACATTGATATATTGGCCAATAAAATGCGAGAACAGCTATTTAGTCAATTAGAAGCATTGCACGCAGTGGATAATTGTTGGGAAAATTGTCAGGGGAGAAAAAGAAGAAAAAAGCAATACCAATCAAATGTAAACAAAAATGATGCGTGCATGTCACATCCATTGTTGATTCAATGTTGAATCACAAAAACAGTAGCCGTGCTCGACAACACACATATTAGAAACGGCGTCAGTATCTTCAATTCGACAATCAGTCGACTCTGGTTTCTCTTTTTATATTCTTCATTACTCCTCTCTCTCTCTCTCTCTCTCTTTCTGCCCCCGTTTTATTTTATTAGATTTTATTTGATGCTATCGCATTGATGTGTATTGGACGAAATTACCTCCATACGCACAGATACTACTCCAATTGTATGTATATTATCCCCACTCCTTCGAATGTTTGTTTGAGTTAAAGAGCGCCCTTTTGCCGTTGCTCCATCTTCTTTTTTTTTACTCTTCTTTACCATCGGTGGCATCATCATTTATTTAAAATAATAAGTTACTACGTTCCCAATTCAATGTGGATGAAGAAAATATTCGACGTGAAACCTCACTTGTTAGCGACTGATTTCAACACAATGCTTCGATCTTCAATCGTTTATACGAACGATGGATGATTCCATGGAACAGCAAAGTGTAAACGCATACAACTAAGAAGAAAAAAAAGTGGAAAAAAGGGAAAAAAGAAGAAGAAGAAGAAGTGCGCTGTATGCACACACATCAACACGATTATTTGGATGTGCAGAAAGTCATTTAGCCTATCAGCACCTTCCGCCGTATGATATCCAATAGAAATCGGATATATTAAATTCGCCGATTGATGTACACACAAAACATAAGGGACAAAACAGCGCATGTCCTCAACGAATAGTCTTCGCACACTTGCCTGAATGCCGAGCAGACAGCGTCTTCAATATGGTTACATGGCCACATGGATAACGAAGTGTTGATGTTTGCATTGCGTAACGATGGCGCATCGAGAGTGTACCACAATGATTGAAGACCGTTCAATTGAAATCTTTGAAATTAAAAATTACATTTGGTCATAAATTGAATAACGGTTTATCACTCGCATCCTCGACACGATTTCATTTTTGATTTGAAGTAAAACAATGTTGGTTATATACATTTCATTTGAATGGAGAAAAAAAAAATACAATAGAGAATTCATTTTGAAACCGTTCGAACGATCTGACCACAATGACTTTGTACTTTGAACGGTGGAACGATGTTCAATATGGCAATGTGGAATTGACTTATTGAATTATTTACTTCAACTTACCTGTTTCCGCGAAAATGCAATTACGGTTTCGACAATGATGAACAAATTCTTCTTCTCCCGTGTACGTTTACCCAACCGAATTCGGTTTGAGCCATGCATTTTATTTTTTAATTCCAGTATCTAATAGGTTTGAAGTTAATAAGTTGTACTTGTTCAAAGTATTGTGAATGGAAATTTTTCTGTGTCGCGCCAGTACGGAAGAAAGTCGCCCAAAAGTCATTCTTAAGAATGAAAAACTTCGGTACAACTCACTTGAGTAATCCATTCATTAACTCTTGGCTGTTGGTTTGATCTCACCTTTGCATGTGATAAGAGGAATTAAACACAGTTCGGTTCGGTTCGGTTCGGTTCGGTTTAGTTCAGGTGAACTTGAAATAATATTGCTATACATTCGAAACGACCGATTGAGAAACAACAAACATCTTTTAATCGCACCTGAGAACGTAAAACAAAAGAATACCAAAATATTTATAATAATCTGTTGCAATAACATTGTGAAAACAATGCGCTTTTCTATTAACACTACAAACTTCAAATATTCAAAGCAGAAACCGGGCCTGAAATATGTTCCGATTAAAGTTTTTCAAGCAATATCCGATTTTCGATATCAAGCCGATCAATTTCACCGTTTTTATCAACGAAAGGTGAAATGATCATTTTGTCCCAATGAAGAAATTGAATAAATTAAAGCAGGAAGACTTCATAAGTATTTAATTGCCTCCGTTTTGTTGCTAATTATTGTTCTTCCTTTTCGTTCACAAAAGGTTAATCCACTTCATGCGTTAATCTGGCAGCGCACAGGTAAATCTACCTGCTAATGAATTTGGACCAAAAAGTAAACAGTGCACATCATCTCTCTATCTCTCTATTCTAAGCTCTTTAATTGCAACTGAGTTCGCTGGAAACAGGTATTCTACGTTCAATAGAGCATGTTGTCAGAACAATGCCTCATTGGCTTCTGAATTAAGGTGGAACGATATCAACTGCTTAAGCAACTTACCTTGCGGAAGAGTCATTTTTGAGTATACAGGAAGACTCAAGTCAAAGCTAAACTAACATTTGCAAACCGCAAAGAAGTCAACTCGAATCGAAAATTCCTCGGATTTCATCTACTGTTAATGATATTCCAAATGACAAACGCAAACTAGTTAATTCAATCATTATAAATAATGTCAATAATTTCAGGTTGAGTTTCCATTCCATGAAGAAAATTTTTCCTCAATATATATAATATTACATGCTGATTCGATTTGATTCGCTAAAGCATGATATATTTCACACATTTCAATATCCCGAAAAATGTAATCATGAAGCTAAGACTTAAAAAAAAGCTCCTCTTCATCCATATAGTTTCCTTGAATGATTTAGTTTTTTTTAAATTTAAGTATTTCGTTGGGAATATACGGAAAACTATAATTTTCCAACGAAAATTCAAGAATTCATTTTCATTGAATGCCATTTTTTGCCGTGTTTGCATTCATAACGCAAAATGACGCCATTAATTTTCATTTCTATCATTTACTCAAGCTGAAGATATAATTTGGTTTGAAATTTTCCAATGCCATAAAGCTTTTGTACTGGCCAATGGGCTAGAGATGCTAGTTTCAATCACAATGTATTTGTGAGTCGTTCTGGATTACGATTGTATGTTACATATAACATGAGTATATTCTGTAGTTGAGAATCATGAGCTTATTCGTTCTTTCTAAAAGAATAGGATAATCGGTCTGATGTGTACTTTAGAGTCGAGCTCTATTCGTTCTGGACACCATGCATCGTTCATGTTGAAGTACAAGCGTTTTGCACTGAACATTGCATGACTTGGACACCGCAATGAAGAGCCGCACACTAGCACATTCACACATACACACATATTGGCAAAGCTAATGTGCGAGAGAAAGAGAGAGAGAGAGAGTGAGCAAGACCGCGGCACCGACAACACAGGCTGTTGCAATGTAACACAAACACACATAAATCGTTCCATCGTTGCACGCACCAATATAATCGCAAAGCACACAAGCAAACAACACATTCAACCCCCTGAACGAATGCGGTCGTGCGCTCATTTACGTTTGTGTGAAAAATTGTTAAAATATTTATTTGATGAAATTAGCGCTTGGAATTCAGTTGGTGGTTGCTCGTTGAACAATGATGATGTTGATCTGAGACAAGCATTTGCAATAACGAAAGTTTTACCAGTTATTTTATATTCAGTGATTTGAATACTTTTGCTGAAGAAAGAGTTAGTGATTGGAATTTTTCTTTTAAAAAAAAAAAAAAGTGAAAAATTTCATTTTGATATATGATTTGAACACATTTGATACAGAAAGAGTTGGTGATTTGAAATTTTCTTTTTAAAGAAAAACAGTGAAAGATTCTCATTTTAATATTTGGAAAATATTTTGTGAAAGCAAGTGAAAATAAAAAATAAAATAAATTTTTCATCATGCGATCATCACAAAATGAAACTCAATCGAAACCGAAAGGTGTTTATAGCATTGATCAAATATTGGGAACACACAACAGGCAAAATAATAACACAATGGGTATGTAATAAGTTTGTTGCATTTATTTGTATTATTACTCCTTTTGAAATAAAATATCTCGTGCCGAAGGCGAACACACAATTGTTTGTTATCAAGAGAACATTTCGAAAGATGAAAAACTGAATAGAATCACTGAAGTGTCATCTTTCAAATTGGCATATCGACTTCCAATAGTCAAGAGTACTTTCGTCACTCACGCCGGCTATCATCCACTGTTTGATTAGATGTTAATTGAAAAAGGTGTCTTCAAAATGAAGCTAAACTCTTGTTGGCGCGATGAAAATTTATTTATGTTTGACTTCGTTACGTGTACGCTCTTCCACCACCTGTTGATGCGCATTAATTGTTGGCCGTCGGCAAAATTAACTGACATTGAAATTTCACTTTGAGTTTAAAAAATAAACAGTTGCGAAAATAAAACATCAGAGTAAGCAATAAAGTGCAAATGTAGAAACAATGAAAGAAAGCGGTTAAATATGATTGTAAAATGCGTTTCCAGTTTTTTTTTAACAACCATTTGCTTTAATTACGTATCGAATTTGCTTTTGCTGTTTCTTTCATTATTATTCGAAACCAAGCTGTGTTTCAAACAACCATGGCGAACCAAAAAAAATGTATAAAAATTGTTTTACTCACTCTTTCTAAATTCACCACAATCGAATTAATTAGAGAAAAAGTTGAACTCATCATTAAGAAGTGATTTCATGTGTAAATGTAATGAATTATGCCTTCGGCTTTTTTCACACCATGGAGCAACTCCCCAGTACACCCTATGCATCCTGCTCCTGCTGCGTATCATTCCGTTTTTGCTTCTCTTATTAAACAGTACATTTTAATTGGCATGGATGAGTGATACGAAATAAAAATTGTTATCAAACATCCTTGATGTATTGTATTCAATCGAAATTTCAATCAAAAATACCTCAAAATTCACACAAGTATTAATAAGTGAATTGAAATGTCTCTTTACATAGTCCAATCGATTTACACAAAAAAAGAGAGAGAGAAAAAAAAAAGAAAATGTACGGAAAAGCAATAATCATGAATGAATCATAAATGTAAGGCTCATATACGCTCCACGCGTCACGTACGTAAATCTGATTTTAACAGCCAATTATAAAATGATTGAATATTTAAGAGTATTTGAAAGCAATACGTGCAAGCATGCACGCTTGATCGTTGAATCGTTGAAAGTGTAAGCGAGAGAAAAAAAGCACATCCCGTGAGTCAATTCATGCAAATTGAACAATGTGAGAAGGAAGAAGTGATGTGTCATTTGTACCAGTGCTAATATATAATACAAGGCATTACACAGGAATCAGAAAATCATTTGATTGCAATGAATTTCCTGAACACACTTTAGGCTCCATAAAATTGACATTTCTAGTTTATGATTTTAAGATTCATTTTTGAGACCTAACTTCATCAATGCCTTCGTTTTTGATTTCCATAGAAACTGATAGTCATATACAGAATGATAACTGTCAATCAGACCATGAAAATGGTTTGGACATTGAAAATGATGATGACTACCCGCTGATGAGCGATCTGGACGTTGCCGACCATGATCCAAACGACATGAGCCGACCACGTAAAATAAGACGGTAATTATCAATTTTAATTCAGTTAAAAAAAAAAAAAAATATAACAAATTTGCGGAGCAAATTGATTTGAATTTTGTTAGAAACAGTAAAATAAATAAATATTTTGATCGTTTTCATATTCTAAGCAGATCTAGAACAACATTCACCACCTATCAATTACATCAACTAGAGCGAAGTTTTGAAAAGACCCAATATCCAGATGTATTCACTCGCGAGGAGTTGGCCCATCGATTGGAGCTTAGCGAAGCCCGTGTTCAGGTAAACAACATTTTTAATTGGCTTTACAATTTAAACTACAAGAATTGCGAGATTAAATTCACATTTACATAAGCAAACTAAATTCAATCTAAGTACTCGATAAATAATTCACCGATTCTGCAAAAGCCTCGGAATTCTCCAACTTTTTTGGCTATCCCAATCAAAATGATATGTTGACGCATTAAATTACCGAACCAAATTAAATATTTACTTTGTTCAAATGTATCGTCATCAGACTCATTAACCTTTTTATTCTTTTGATTGGTTTATGACTTAAGAATATGTTTTTGCTTGGATGTTACATTTGATTCGAATTTTAAGTCAGATGAATATCCAATCTGAAAAAGAGTAAAAAGTAACGTTTCCATTGATCGCTTGCTTTTGAGATGGATGTACGCATATCTCTCACACTCACATACACATACACAACCAGCGTGTACGACACGAAGAGGCGTTCCCGAAAATATACCCTTTGCCACATACAATACGTCGTAAGGAAACAGTGAAACGGCGATTCCTGTATCAAAATCCTATTAAATTATAAAGTATGAAACGAATGAACGAGGTGCGCTTTGCCGAAATCCTTTGATTTTTAACCAAAAATTCGCAATATCAAAATTGAAATATGCATATTTTATTTAGTCGGTTAATAAAATTTGAATTAAACCTAACATATAATTATATGCGAACAAAAGATTTACCGTCCCTTTGAAATTCAAATTTTCGATTCACTAAATAGTTGTGGCATGATTTTTCTTCTTCTTCAACGATTCAGCTTCATTGGTATATAAAATTACAGAGAAAAATGTCGTGTGAGTGAATTTGCTTTTTAACGTTTTGAAATAGTTAACTGCAATGTGTGTAATGTCTTCAAATTTATCGGCCTTCTTCGCCTTTAGCGCAAGGAAACAAATTACTGGTTCACCTCAATCCAAATTAATAACATGCGAATTTGTGTTGAATACATTCCAAAAATCATTTACATGTCATTATGTTGAACGTTTTCTACGTGAACTACGTTGTGGACGGGATTATTTTTTAATGTGAATTTGATTGATTCTAACAGAATTTGGTATTGTTTGCAGTTGTGAACTCAATTGCAGTTGCTGCTATCGAGTATCAGGGGTTAATCGATACTTTCGTGGCAATCAACATTGCACAATATATCAAACAGTCGAATTATGAACAGCATCACACAAAAAGAAGCGATGATATCGAAATGCTCTCTTTTTATTTCTCCATGTTTTGTTGTCTGAATGTAATCGCTTAAACACAAACAACTCAATCAGTGACGGCGCACCTTTGCGTTCCAATATGAGACATGATACATAATACCGACCATCATTTCGGTTCGGTTCGGTTCGGTACAGTTCGAATTGGTCGAGCTGACTGGCTGGCTCTGTTTTTTTTTTGTTGGCTCGCAAAATGGTAACTTCGATCAAATGCACACGCATTTATGAGCTGATGCATGAGATTGCTAATAACGTGCATACAGTTTCATTATAGTATTTAATTTATAAGCCCAATAATAATTGTCTGATCTAAATATTGCACCTCAACTCAACAACCTATTTGCCATACGTATTATCCTTGACTTAATTCAATCGTTGAGTTCATTGTGTTCGTCAATTGTGTGTGCACAACAGGGCAAAAATCCTCATGCTCGATCTCATTCCCTCTCTCGCTCGTCTATCATTACGTAAAGATGCATTTCCATCCGAAATTTGTGCGATGCACACACACACACACACACACGCATACTCGAACGACTACAATAGCCGTGTAACGGGCGAGAGGGACACCAGTCAAAGAGGAAAATATGATGCAAAGAGAAAGAGAAAGAGAGAGAGAGAGAGAGAGAGATTTGATTGTATTTTAAAGCAGTTCACAAGATGATTTCCCTCCTCTTTGTCTCTAGATCGGTTATAATTTATATTTCATATGATTGTATTTACACGTCCCGTAAATTGAGCGATAGAACTAGCAAGTACATAAAATTCATGGTATTACAAATGCTTACACCACGTATTCGACGATGTGTGTGCGGCTTAGGATATATAGCACGTATGAGAAATTATAAACATGTACATCGTATTCGTTTTTTGTTGTTGTGTTGTTACCGCTTTTTCGCTGTTCATCGCTCGCTCTCTCTCATTCTCTCTCTCTCTCTCTTGCTGCTGTGTTATTTGTTCGACATTTATTGTGTGTATGGAATTACATCGAAATCCATTCAGATATATTGGCATATGAAATCATCATACACGTGTTTTTCATAGGCAATTACTTCGGATTATTTCGGAATGTACTCAAATTGAGACTTAAACTGTTTAATAATTGTTGTGTGCATTTTGATACTTTTGAATCGTCCTCTCATACGATTGTTGTCTCCCTTTCACTCATAACACGAAATGATCAAATCGTTTTTTTTTTTCTTCTCGGGTACTTTTCAGTTGTTACAAAACATTATACGCATTTATGCGTACAGTAACATCTATTTTTACGCGCTGGTCTATTGTCAGCTCATGGCTACAGAAGTGGAAGTACAACAGAAAAAAGTACGTTCACAATGCCACAGATAAAAAAGAAAATAATAAACTCAAAAAGGGTGCACAATTCACATCGAGTAGCTTGCTTTCCAATTTTTTTTTTTTTTGTCAAGTATAAACACAACTATCGGTTGGCTAAAATTCCTTTTTCTGTATCATCCGACCGTATTTATTCATACGCGTACCCAACAACTTAACGAACAAAACTGCAAAATACAACCATTTTATCGGCAACCGATTTGCCGTCATATTCAAATTAGCTAGCTTTATTTCTTCATAATCAATTTAAGTGGGAAAAAATCAAGCTTCCGAACGAAAACCGAAAATGACATTTTTTTTGTGTTTGTGTGTTGTTCAAACTGTTAAATACATCGTTTGGTATACACGCTTGCACACACAAAAAAGGGTAATTTGGATTTGGTTCAACGGCGGGGCGCGTTTGTTTTGGAATAAAGTCGCGCGAATCCTGAACGAGTGTGCATCATCATGAGCGAGTGCATTGGAGCGTATTTTAATTCACTCGCATCTTCTTCTGTGGTGATGTGATGGTGGTGGTGGTGTTATTGCTGTTACTGGTGCCACTACAAGTAGTTATTCAAATTCTTTTTAGGCGCGTCCTTAATTTGTACGCTCGAAAGCAATAAATTTAAATACTTCCGCTTTCACTTAACGGTTAATGCCAACCATTTTCATATTAATGTTTTATACGCAGAAATAATAATACTGAGCAAGTTGCTGCTACCATTGCCTTTTTCGCGAGCGCCACTTTTTGTTACGCGCGGTCCAACACCAACGACGCCAATGATGATATATGAAACCGTGACATCGCGTCAAAATGGAGTAAAAGTCATACGTTTCTGTACAATACGATAATGAAATCGCGCGTAGCCACCGATTTAGGAAAGTATACAGGGCAGAGAACGAAAAAAATGTATAATTCGCATTCATAGATTCTCCTAAAAAATAAAAACACAATAGGAGAGAAAAATTAAATTGCGATGTTTAAAAAGTCTCTTCTCTCTCCAATCACTTGCCACATTTTTGATTGATCGTTTTGTTGTATACTTGTGTGAAATTGACTGGTATCCAAAATCTCTCTATATCCTTCCTCATGCATTCAGTCGGTCGATTTATACACATGAACCAGTAAAAATCGTATGCAAAACCATCGCATTTTATACAAGCTCTTACGAGAGAAAAAAAAACTCAAAGGCAAAAAACCCATAACGTATGAATGCATCCAATACCATATACCAATCTCGTTCTCCTTCTCCAACATACAGCCAATTTTCCATGGCATTCAAATGTTTATTCAATTGAATTGTATGAATTTAAATGATTTCACTTAGTGACTGAATCTAATTGACAATAAGCCCAATTATCTCGCCAATTATTTTAAAGATTGCGATTATCTCTCTTTCACTCGCTGTATGTATCAGTGTATAAGTGTAGCGCCCGTGTGCGCCTTGCCATTTCCACAGCTTGTGTCATACATTGTATTTTGTCATCACGGTGGCTGGTTGGCAAGTCTGTTTAACATGCCCTCAATGGAGCGCATAATCCACCCTGCTGTTCAGCGAATGAGTGAACGAGTAGAGACCGACTGTTGATAAAAAAAAAAAAATAGAACGAAAACAAAACAAAAAAAGAAGATACCATCGACAGCAGAGAACGTTTTAACACACCAACAATTTGCTCATATCCACTTACAATTTTCTGCACGCTTCGCTTGCTCTCGAATTGACTTGATTTTCATCTTTCTACATATTCACTCGTTAAACCAGCACAAATTGAACATTAAATTTTCGATTGATAATATTTAGTGTGTATTTATTGGATAATCCAATTCCGCCTGTACATCATTCGAACGGATATTGTTAAATTCATTCACAAAGTGTTTAATGATATCTAAATGCCCAATCTCAACAGAAATGGAATTTATACGGTTGGTCATGGTGATGCCATGGATAAGAATGAACAGAGCTAGAAGGAATACTATCATTTTATGTTAAGGGTGTTTTCAAATGTGAAACGGTGAAAAATTCCATGGTGAAAATATAAGGAAAAACCAAAATGAGAAAGATAAAGGGAGAGGAAAATAACGAATTGCTACATAGTTGCCGATGCGTGTGCACTTTTTGTGCGGAGGAAACAATTTAAAGTTGATAAATTGGTTGAGCTAAAGCGACCGTATCTAATGAATCGTTATGTCATTATTTGGTTGTGTATTCACTTATTGTTTGACTGCACTCTGAAGAAAAATGTTTCGCCTTAGCAGTAACCGGAGCCTCGGCTGCTTAATTTGTGCGTTTTAAAAGCGATTAACAGTAGAAATGAGGTCCGACGGATTTTTTCGTTGCTATTCGGAAGTTTGAGCCGAAAAAAGCGGAACAAAGCCAATTCCATTTGTAAATGGAATGAACAAAATATTGGCAATAGGAAAATTACTTGAAAATTTGATTGAGGCTTCTGCAGGGCCAGAGAGAGAAAAAGGTAAAGTGAGATAGAGTGGAATGGAGAGTGCAGTGACAAGACCCGGTCCTGGCTTAAATTTACGAACAAAACATTTATATATTTCCGATTGGGTTACATTGTTTAAAATAATACAATGCGAACAATTTGATAATGGTGAATATTGTTGCCACTTGTTCATAAAAATACATAGGCAAAAAAAAACAACAGCAACTGACGAAATAAGCAACCAATTCGAATGGATACATAGTTCGTAAGGGTCCAATTGCATAGGCGCATAGGCACATACGCACACACGACGATGTGAGCTAGAGATAGAGAGAGCCGAAGAGTCAGCGTTGCAAATGAGCCGAGAAAGCAACAATTCATACAACCAATTTGGCATCGCCATGCCAATTCGTTCGGTTGATTTTGATTAATATTCTGCAGTCAGAAGTTGGCCTTATACTTATCTATAGCAATTTATTGACAATTGGCTCACATCAATCGACGCTGAAAATGGGGGGAGGGGAGAGATACAGAGAAAAAAATTGTATCCCACAGACTCGATTGTGCAGAGAATGTCTCATGCTTCATACCAAACGCCTGTAACCCGTTGGTCGATGTTGATTTGAATGGAAAACGCTCATGGCATACCGAACAGCGTTAGAGAGTTAAGTGGACTAGACATTGACGTTGTTATTGTGTTTGATTTTATGGGTCCATCCATAGATCATTGTAATAGGTAAATACGTAACACGTCGACTTATGTGCGCTTTTGTCTATGTACATTCGCAACACGTTCAATCACTGCCATCAATTCGCACTGTGGCACCAACGATGTTATATGCTCTATGACTTACTGACAACGTTTAACGATTGAAACGCATCATCATCATCGTGGTCGGTTGTTGTTGTTGTTGTTGTTGTTGTTGTCGTCGTCGTGGATGCCGTTGTCGTTGTCGTTTTCGTTGCCAATGTGCTACTTCAGAACGAATCTGAAGAGCATTTATCGGTGCGCTTGTTTCGATTCCCTACCTTGATGTGGTGGTGTTGTCCATGCGTTCAATTTGCGCTTTCGGTCACAATAATAAATTGACAATTCAATTTTATTATGATAATTGTTATTGCCTATTATTGGTGACATTATGCATCGGTACCACATACACCACTTTTTGACGATGCAAAACCGAAACCGAACTCGGTGTTGATGCTCAACACGCTACCACTCCATTGAAACGGACAACACACAAACCGAACACGGCACACACTCTGATTTTTGAACATAATTATGCGCTTTGTACGGAATTAAATCAATAGAGTATAAGAACAATTGTCCATGTGTACTGCACAATTTATTCGCCATATAATTATGATTCACAATGAACGCAATGCTATGCATTCAAACAATATAGGAGAAAACACATGGAAAAATCTCCCTTTTCGATGCACTCAGGTCTCCAGCCATTATTCGGTTCGCATGTTCGACAAAGGAAATCAATTCCATTTCGCATGAATTAAATTAAAAAACGACGACCATAATTACGATTTGATTGAATTAAAATCAACAAAAATGCATGCTTGGATACTCTGCATTGAACATTGAAAATTGACTTATGTAAATGTTGATATAAACTCCAGCCAATTTTTAACGTTTTTTTTTTTTTTTTTTTTAAATTACTTGCTATATATTATTTCAAGTTCCATTTCGATTTAGGCTATTTTTTCTTCATTTTGATGTGCAAATGATTCTAATCTGATTAATTTCCTTGTTTCATTCACAGGTCTGGTTCCAGAACAGACGTGCCAAGTGGCGAAAAAAGGAAAAGGCAATGGGTCGTGATACATCAGTCTATATGCATCCCGAACAATCTGGGTTGCCTGAATTTCCAATTCCATTGTCCATTCCACATAACATTGCCGCTGCTGCAGCTCATTCGGCTGAATTTTGGCCGCAAAACTTCCCATTGCATTCAACATTTAGTCCATCGTTGTTGCATCAAAATCTACTGCCCACATACAAAATGCCCAATATTCATTCATTTCTCGCGCAGTATATGGGACTAAACAATCTAGGTATTTTCAATTACCCACAAAGTTTAGGCGTCGGCCCACGAATTAGTCCTCCAATGATGAATAATAATAGTAGCCCAAAAGAAAGCCCAACGCTACAAGATGCTGAAAAATAGGCAAATTTCTTTTGTACACCCCATCATGCTCACAAATACACTTATCGCTTCCACTCTTGAGCAAATTGTCGAGAACAACAACAGGGTATCATCAAAAAACCAAAACAACTTATTTATATTTTTAGTTTAAAGTGATCGCGAATTTGTATTGTCTGATTTCGTATACAACAAGAACAACTCATGCGACATACGGAATTTGGACAGAATCGCCGGAAAAAAAAAAAACAAAGTGTAATGCAAATTTGGAATTTAGTTCGAACAAAAAAAGAAAGAAACAATTAAATTAAAAATCATATAACACAAGATGCAACGTATCGATCAATACAATTTTTAGGCAATAAGATTAAATGTGCTAGTTTCAAATATATGAAATTACTGAGATGAAGAAGAGAAATGAAAAAAAAGACTTAACGAATGTGCACAGTAACCAAATTGTGTAAACAAGGAAGAAAGCCAATGGTATTGATAGAGAAATAAATTAGGTGATCTTCTGACGAATCCAAAATACAAACACATTGTATATATTATTCTTATATAGAATGAACAATTGTGAAGCATAGCGAATTTTTGAAGTGTTCCCTTCGTTTATTTTTTCTGTTTATGTTTCAGAAGAAAAGTCCGAAGCGATAATTCCTTTTTAATAATTTAGGTGCGAACACATACACATACAAAACAGAAACAAATTGTGTATTTTCAAACAATTAGGTAAAATATGAAAAGTGTACAACAATTAAATGTATAATAGAACAACAAAATGATCAAATGAATCGAATACGTTGACGTAATTAAGGTCGAAAGGATCTGAATACAAAAAATGAACCGGTTTAATTTATTTGCAACCAAATTATGTACCACATAAAATACAAATACAATTATAATTATAATAATTATATGATACAAACAATAAAACTCTCTAATAAGGTATGCTGACTCCGAATTTATTTTACTGTAAAAATGATTATTACAAATATATGTATACATTATTAAAAGTCAGAGAAATTTTGCAAAAAAAATATTTGTCTGCGTTTTTTTTTTTTCATGTCATATTTGCCTAATTACCAATAGGAGACTTACTTCTTCTCGAGTTCAAGTGAAAAACCTTCGCCTTTCGTTCAAACTAAAAGGTAATTAAATTGCCACAAAAAATGACGAATACGACATAATTATTGTGACACCTTTTCAACAGAAAAAAAATTGAAACGATCTTGCTCAAATATTATTACAGCCAAAATGGTGTCCTGGTTTTACTTTCTTTCTCAGACCAGTATATGTATACTAATAATAATATTCATATACTTCAGATTTGCTAAATGGAAGCGCAAATTGTTGTTTTTTTTTTTTTTTTTTGCTTTGATAGTATCTGTCACCATTTTTCTTCGTTTGCCTTGAATTCATTAGAAAAGTATACCCACAATACAATCCACTCAAGCTGTGTTTCGTTTTTGCTACGGATGTCAATTTGACTATGGTTGGCTTCCCAAACAATATATACGGTGTTCGAAACGCCTGATACACTTTTCTCTCGTTTACGATTTATCAGTGTTTTCGCTTAGATTATTTTATCACAATATGCGAAGAAAAAAACACAAAGGAAAATGAAGAAATAAAAGTTTTCGGTGCCAGTGAAAGAAGAAAATCATCTCTAAAAATACAGCAAACACAACGCAAACAATCAAATTAGGCACACAATTTGAAAAGTAAAGTGACATTTTATATTCATTTTTCAGTGTGAGAAAAAAAAAATGTTCAAAGTAAACTGCCGGTTTCCGCACGACACATTGGCGAAGGTCAAAATTCGGTACAAGCAAAACATCATTTGCCGTGTATGCGTTTGAACAGATAGCGACAACGTTGTTTGTATGAAGAGGACCCGACTGGCCGCAATATCTGTTTGATAATTTGGGATTAGAATCCAAACAATAAATTGTATCGAACAGTGCGATATTTGATCGACCGGTGTTTATGCAATGATGTTCTGTCGGCAAATGAAATCGATATTTTTCCGCAATGATTTTCTGGTCGAGAAAAAAAAACCGATTACAACGAAATTTCACAAGTAAATTGCTACTGTTAAAAGGATGAAAGTGAAGGTACTCAGCTAGGTAACAATGAAGGTTAAGTTAGGTAAATCAATTGAGTTAAATGTTTCAATTTTGAATGTGACATATCAAATTACCCAATACATATTCGATGTTCGTTATTCATCATATACATTTGCAGCAGATTTATCGATATGAACAATAAACATACCTAAATGAACTGTCGAACTTTATCAAACTAGGCTCATTATTTGAATCGGTCGATTTGACATAATTGATTTACTATCGATGAACACAATATAGTCAGTTTTCGGCATTTCTCAACTGTATATTTACATTTATTCCGTTGTCAATTTTTTTCGGTTATGTATGTTTGATGAATGTTTTCTTCAAATATTACTTGCATTCGATGATTTGGGAGGAAAAAAACGGAAGAAATTATTTGCCGGATGTTATGATAACATCAACTGTACATTTGATTCGATACCTGAATAACTATTACAGACCGATAAATAATTAAAGTCGCCCGTTTCAATGAAACTCGATATTTGTCACATACACAACGAAAATTGAAAGTAATTCGCCCACAGTATCTTTTGAGTGGCTTTACAAAACGCAACATGACTTTGTCGAAGAAGAAAAAAAAAAATACTGGCGAGCATCAATGAAAATGTTGAACGAACAACAGCACATTGTATCTATTCTCACAATGTAAGCAAACTGCTATTGGTAATAGATATATCTAGTTTTATATACAAATAGAGTTTTTTTTTTTCAATATTCTTTACATCAATGGCATTACTTTTATGCAAGGAATATTTGCAGATGTACACGAAATTAAGTTCTTTAAATTTTTTATTCTCGTGTGTGTGTGTGTGTGTTTTTTCTCCCTACAATGAAAAAGAGTGTTTATCTTCAGCAATGCCAAATTAGGTTGGCAAAATAATATAACTAGAAAAATATGATTTCCTCGATATTCGTGATTATTGCATTGTGTCAGCATGTATCACATCATAAATATGAATGAACCAGAAAGCAGAAAAAAAAAAATATCAAGAACCCCTGAGTGTGCGAAACAATGAAATCGACAACAGCCGCGTTGGCAACACAATGCACGACTATAATATCGGCAAACGGCAAATGAAACCATAAAAGAAAGAAACACATCGACACACATGGGGAAATTATGATATGGTTTTTGATTAATCAATATGTGTAAGTAATTTAGGTGCAATTATGCTTGTATAAAGCATTCAATACCGATGACGCGGACTGAATTAAACAATTTTTAAAACACAATTAAATTTTAGTTTTCTCGTTCTTCGTTATTCCATAGCCATTATTTATGTTTACCGCCGTTGTTTCGGCTTTTGAGTCTTTGTTTTCGCTTCATTCGTTTTTTTTTCTCCATCTATTTCTCCAATGCTTTTGCATGGACGCTCTCATTCTTCCAAAACGGAGTAATTCAATTATTTGTGTATGAGCATTGTTTGTATTGTCAATCAGTCAATAAAGCATACACATTCACAAATCATATTGTGAGATGAGACAAAAAAATAACGTAATGGGCTAAATACGGAGATGGTATTTTAAGAAATTGTCGACATTAAGCAAGCAAATATGATTCGAAACGAAAATAGTACGATGTAAATGATTCGGCGAAATCGGTTTGCCTTTATTTTTCCGTCTATCATATATATTTTTAGCAACAATAAAAGCTTCAACTTATCTCAGGTGATATGACCAAAATCGTTATGCCATAAAACATCTGGTGTATGCGGGCATTACGACCGGTTTCGCATGCGGTGCGTATTTCGTTAATGCATTGAATGAGTTATCAAGTGCTGCCTGTGGTGCTTTTTATGTCCATTTCATAGAACATTATTATCTTGATTTTCATTTCAAATGCTGCGAAATTTGTTTATTATGAGCGACGATGAGAGAAAAAAAAAAATGTCATAAATGTTGAGTATGTTTTGTCATTAAATTTCGGCTTTCAATTAAGCGCAACCGTATCACATTCATAATTTCATGCAACTCTTTCACCAAACGTGAAAAGTACCAAAATGAATATAGCCAAGCAATGATATTTCATTTGCATGAGATTTTATTTATGTATTGCAGCAACACAAAAAAAAAAAACGAGAAGTATATTAATGCCGGTATATTAGCTTCCAAAAGACGAAAAGGCATCAGTGCAAGAAAGAGAAAGAAATTAGACCGTCATAACAAATACCATGATGATTGAAAATGTAATTCGTGTAAATTACACTTGTACCAGCCTAAACGAGTAGTGACTAGCACTTTTTTTTTGTGTATGTCGCCTACTTAAATTTCATCGTGGCATCTTTTTTGCCATTCGTTTTCACATTTGCAGCAATGTCAAGCCCTCTCTGCCCATACCCCTCATTTCGCTCTATCGCTCTCTTGCACTCTTCTTAGTGTGGCCCGTTTTTCGGATTTGCACGCAAGTAATTATATTGTCGTTTTCATATTGTATTTACATAAATCCATTTCTATTGCTTTTCCTTCCTATTCATCAGCAGTTTAAGTTTAATCAACGATTTAAAATTATACTACCATTCAGCCAAAACATTCATCAAGCAGAGGTTGAGAGGGTAGCAGACACTTACGATTTTCATGTTGATTTGTCGATTTTGGATGAATGGGTGTGCTTGTGTTCAACAGAGAAAGAGTGACAGAGAGAGAGAGAGAGAGAGAGAGTGTGAGTAAAAGAATGAATGGGAGCCTTTGTGTACATGTGAATGCGAATGATGTTGCGACGGTAGCCATTTGGCTAAAACGAATCGGCATGCATCAACACAATATTTTTTTGTTTGTCTTTTGGCATCTATCCATCGATGTAATGTTCCATTGCTCAACTCGACATCTTCATCGTATGATTCCATCTAAGAGATGTGAATTTGTTTCAATCTAATATTAAATTTACGATTGAACTCAAACACACTTATGGTAAATAAAAAAAAAAAAAAATGAAAGAGAAGGAATGAATGAACAGTGAAAAAAATATGACGGGAGAGAGAGATCAACGGTGATTGTTGGGCTTAATGGAAAATAAGCATAAATGTGAGTGGCTTGGCATGGCTGTGGAGGGAGAAAATAAAGTAAATCTTTTCATTTTGAATTTTAATACCATCAAGTAGACTTGAGTTATAATGCTTTGACGACTTGAATGTTGCTTTGCACAGACAGGGACTGTCCTTTTTCAACAAATGAAACCGCGTCATTAACTTGTACAAATTTTGTGGTCGACAAAATATATTAAGTGAACGTTTTCACGGTACTCACTGTTCATCTGGATGCGAGTGTGAGGAGTTGGAGCAAATGAGTGGATCCGCATATTATGTGATATATCTAAGATAATATGAAGTGAACATCACCATTTGCAATAAACTACTGTTTGTATTTCTTTTTTTTTTTTTTGACGAGGCATATATGATTACAGCGAATGGAATTTTCGTTGCAGAAATTGTTTCTTATTCGAATTAAATTTTCGTCTGTGTAAAATTATTGTTTACATTCAGACGCAGTAAATTCAAACGATTTCCTATTGGTGAATTCGTGGTGTTGAACTCTTTGTTTGCGGAGGCTGCACGATTGCAGCGTGTGTTGTAGCAGCACTTGAAAGTAATTTTCAATAATTCCATTCATGCAGATGCTTAATTATGATTTTATTATTTATTTGATTTCAACAAACCAGCCCTTCCTCGCACGCACACACATCTAGCTCGTCTCTATTATGCACAAGCACATACATTTATGCCAATTGAAAGCGAACAAAATACCTACTTCACTATTGAACGTCAATAAAGTTTTAATAAAATCAAGTAAAGCGGAAGCCGTGCACCGACAAACCAGCAAATAATCTTGGG